AATTTCCGTCCTGTCTGTACCGTAAGGCATAACAGTACCGCATTCCAAATGCCCTTCGTTTCTTCGTTTCTCTCCGTTCACCTTTCCGAGAGAACCGGGCTCTCTCGGCCTCTCACCTGTTCCCCTTCGCCCTACCACTTGGAAGAGTAGTCGTATATAGTCGGGAGTCTCGGCTCCGTTCTTCCTACCACCTTTTACCTCCCGCCATTTCCCTCCGACTCCGACTACGACTCCGACTCCGCGCGCGGCTGGTTTCGAAGGGCAGGAAAGGAGAGGAGAAAGAAACGAGCCACGATACGGAGGGGGGGAGGGGGGAGGAGACGGACCCGGAAACGCCAATTTCACTGGAACTGGAGGAGAGCGGAGGAACCGACACGTGGAGACGCAAGAAAGGAGAAAGGAAAGGACACGGTCTATATCGGAGTAGATACTGCTTTCGATAGTCCTGTTATCGATGTTCCCTCGAAATCTACCCGTAAAAAGGTCCGCGTCGAAGGAATCCTCGGACAAACGAACAACATCGATTTCGTTCCCAAGTTTCGCCGAACAAACAACGATCAAAAGTTAACACGTTCGGTTGTAAAATCGCGCCGCGAATAAAATATATTTTTAATGGCGCGTTGCACGCGGTATGCCGATGGACGACTGTTCGCAGCTGTCGTACGAATATACGACATGTGGTAAAGAACGCGTTAATTGGAGCAAAAGAGATCCATGCGCACTTGGTCGTGTGGAGAAAATATGGACATTCGTGCAAAATATTCTCTGAATTTTCGACGAAAAATGGTCGCCGGATGAAATTTGCGTACTGCCTAGAGTTTAACAAACATTCGATCGTAGCTCGTCTCACGTTTCATCGTCCATCGTCCGCCGCGCTATACTCCTCTCTATTCTATTCTTATGGAGCAAGGATAAACGAGGGTTGAAAACCACCCCCGAGATCCACGTGATCAGGGTTCCGTCCCTTCGGAGGGTGCAACGTAAGAGGGTGACGTGGACTTGCCCAAGGTCGCACGTGGCTCGCCTAGAGGGATCTTTTTTTCTCTCTATGTAGTTTTGAGGGTGCATAAGTTTTTTTTTTTATTCTCATTTGGATAGATGATTATGGGAAGGATTGTCGTAAAAAATGATTGTTTCTCTCGACTGAGCGCGGATATGTGATTTTTCACGAGCATACAGAGCGTATAACTGTACGATAACGGGACGTTATCGCTGGAATCTCGAATTCGGAGTATTATTCCAGCGTGCTCTCTTCTCTCTCTGTAGTTGCGACGATAGTAGTTCTGTCTGGTCGGCAAAAGGAGCCTGGGCAAAGTCTCCAAGGAAGGAGAAAGGAGCAACGAGGATGCGCAGGAGTAGTCGACCGAACGGAAGCTACGGAGAAGAAGGTAGAACCGGAGAAAGGGTGAAGAGAGGGTGGCGAACGGCGGATAAGAGAGTCTCTTTGTGTGCTCGTGTACAACGGAGGGATGAAAGCGAAGGATGAAAAAGCCGGGGGACAGATGGCCCTTTCAGACAATGAGAAACTCCGGAGATAAGGGGAACGCGAGCGAGAATATCCGAGGGGAGAAAAAGAAGGAACAGCAGGGAAAAGGTTGTGCGAGAGAAAGAAGAGTAGGCGAAACTGCTTTTTGTTGAGACAGCAACGGAAAGGAGCGGTACGACACGAACATTTTATTTTTACAAACGCGAGACCACTGCTCCGTACGTCCGATAAAGATAAATATTTAGCCAACAACCGTCAAAATATCAATTACAAGTCTAGTATAATAATAAGAAACGAACGTTCGCGTACCGGCGAGACCGTTGCGATTCTTTTCCGGCGATCGTCGATGGAAACTACCTTTCTCCTTTTACCAGTCCCGGAGCATCCAGCGTTCGTAACGAATCTTTCCACGTTCACTTTGGTTCGGTTTTTTTAAAAAATTACCCCTCTCGATCGATCGCGCGCGCGAATTATAATTGATTTAAATATAGAAGCTTTTTACGTAAGTAACGCCGAGCAAAAAAGCGCGAGAAAAATCGAGCAACAAAGTTCCCTCTCGCGTCTTGTTCTTCTGGTATCCCCTGCACCATCTGTCTTTGTCCGTCTTTCCTTTTTCCCCTCCCGTCTCGGTCGTATTAAAGAAACAGGATGTGCGGAGCGGGACGAGGAACGAGGAAGGAGAGTAGGGAGAGAAAGGCAAGAGGGTTGCCAGCGGAAAAGAGCGGCTCGAGGGAGTAAGAGGGGACGAAGGCGAAGCAGGAGACGACGCCGACGACGACGCCGACGACGACGACGATGACGACGACGAGGAACGAACGAACGAACGAACGAACGAGCGAGCGGAGGAGTTGGTAGAGACGAAGGAAGACCACGGTGGAGGTGGCTATGGAGGTGAACGTGGTGGTGGTGGTGGCGACGGCGGGGGTGGAGGTGGAGGTGGAGAGAGGCAAGGAAGGGGAGGCAAGGAGGCAGGAAGGAGAAGGAAAAGGTGGGTAGAGGCAGATCGAAACGCAAGAAAGAACCGAGGTTAGGGTGGTAGACAGGATGCTACGAGGCAAGTTAAAAGGGTGAAGGGAGGAAGAAGAGGAGTTTGAGCGAAGCAAGAGAAATTTCTTGCCTGGTCTCCTTCCACTCTTCTTCCGTTGCTGAGTCAGACCGAGCCGCGTCGGAGAAGACAGATAGAAAATAGAGAAAAATGGAGGAGAACCGTCCGGAGAGAACGGCGAGCTGAAAACGGGGACAAAGAGAAAATGACAAAGGCGAGAGGGGCGTTCGATTCGATTGGAAAGGCAGCCAGAGAGGCCTCTTTCCTTTTACCAGCGTTTTCTCCGTATTATGCTCCGTACTTTCCGTTGTTCCTATGCGCGCGCGGTCGTCGTACCACACACACACGCGCACAGGTATCCACGTATACGTGCACGGTATGTATAGCCTATCTAGAAATATACATTTATCCGCGTTCTCTTTCTTTTCTGTCTTCCTTTGCGTCCATTGCCCGTCGTTTCTTCCGTCTCTGTTCTTAGCACTTGTACGAGCACTTTTTTCCATTCCTCTCCCTCCTTCCTCCCTTCCTGCCACCACAATTACTATACGAGGTTTCGCGTTATGTGGCTCTATGCTTTTGCGGCGAGAGGGCAGCTTTATACGTGGGTGAACGGGAAAATGTCTTTTGAAACCTTTCTAGGTCGCTCTCGATCGCCCCACTGTCAGTCATATACACGCGATTCCGCTCGCGGCCTCTCGAGAAAATCGTCGATCTCTTCGAGGTTTTCTTTTAAGGACGCTAACGCGATACGATTGCGATCATAATGCTCCAATTTTCGATCAATCCCTTCCTATTACCAAAACCGATTCTTTCGATCTCTTCCAACGATTTCTAATCTTTTTAGGCGGTTTCACCGTCTCGCGGTCGATGGCAATTAATCTTGTCAACGATAAATCGTTGAGAAATACCCGCGATTTTTAAAATACGCCTGACGATATTATCGATAGCAAGGAGTGATTCAAACGTTCGTTTTTATCTTGGCCGTAGCCGGTCCTCCTCCGGAACTCGATCCTTGAATCGTTCTAAGAAAAAAATAGGAAGGGAGAGAGAAACGGAGATGCGATGGAAGGGATAGAGAGGCGGCAAAGAGAGGGAGGACTAGAAGAGAAGAGAAAAGGTTCAGTTCTCTCGATGGTTACGAACGCGGCAAGGCCGAGAGAAGGAACAGTAAAATTGTGGAGAATGTGCACGCGCCATCAGGGTGGCCTAGATTCAGTCAAGACCTGCTTTCTAGGCAGCATTTCTCTTTATCATCGGCACCGCGAGCACAATGTATAGGTAAACCGTTGGTTGCTGTACGATCGCAGAGAAAATCTCAGGTGCGCAAAGTGTACGTACTAGTTACGTACGTTTGTCCTCGATTAATTCTTATAAGCACTTTGTCGATAATTTAATAAACAACGCGCACGCATACGCGTTTCTGTTTATCTTAGGTAGACGGCTCGTCCACTTTTACCACCCCCCTACCCTACCAGGAATGTTAAAGAAAAATCCTTCGAACAATCGATCGCACTAGACCGTCTTTACCTTAAACATCTACGTAATGTACTTTGTTATGTATCGTTATAAAATACATGCGTCTGTAAACGCTTGGCGTATCACTTTCTATTATTCTAAACATAGCGAGGAGGATGCGCGTGGACGTTGACAGTTGAACAACGATCAATCTATGTACGGCATCGTGTAGATTATAAACAAAAAAAAAACAAACAAACTCGTAACGATAATAACAATTTTGAAAACTTCATCAAATTGTATTAATCGTGAAAGGCGAAGAGTAACATTTGTATTTCGAGGGAATATTCTACCGATACGTTCGACGAGCAACTATACGCGAAAACAAAGCGACGGTTATGTTTTCCTCGTGTTTAGCCGTGTAATACGCGCAAACATTAAATAAGTGTTTCCTGCGCATACGTAATCGTTGATTATTGGACAGTTATCGTGCACGTGACCTACCGTAATCGGCGACAGCGTTTCGAACGTGCACGCGGCAAGTGTTCCAAATCCTCATGGAGAAGCCACGAGGCGCGCGTGGAGGGACGTCGTTTAATTCGTCGCTCCGTACGACAGGTCGTTAAACGTCGTAGATCATTGTCACGCACACCTATGCGAGTACGCACACGCCGACCGACTGACCAGCTGGGCGGGATACACGGGGGAACAGTCGAAAGTCAAAACAATACGCGCGAGCACGCGTAAATCGGACGCGGAATTAATAAACACGGAAAAGATTTCATTGAATCGGGTATCGGTATCAACGACGCACGAAAGTCGTAACGTTTCTCCAAACGGAGGTTATACCGAGCCGAGTCAATGCGAGACGCGTCAAGAAGACAATGACGAATCGCGGAAACTATAGAAACGTTTACTTTTCTATTTACCATCGGACAAAAGGGCACTCGAGGATCGCGATACGTATCGTACGCGTCGTGTATTATACTTGAGAAATTCTGTCTGAGCACTTACCTTACCATGACAACCTGACGCACGAATAGAATCACCGCCGGAGCAAAAGTTCGGCCGATTCTTGGCAACTTTGTGCCAAGGTCCGCGGTAGACACTCACTTTTGCTTCTAGTTATGACACTCGATGTACACGACCCACGCACGGGATGATATTTTACGAACGATTCTCACGAAACGCGTACTCACGCGATAACACACGGACGATTGTCAGTCGTCGCGTAAAGCACGTACCGCGCTGACGACTGGCAGCTGTCACTCTCTCGGTTTGCCCGTGAAAACGTCGCGGCACGAAGTGGCGTAGCGAATCAAGGAGAGAGACGGACAAGGGGAAGGAGAAGGAGAAAGAGAAAGACATAAATGCACACTAGGGGGCACCGTGATGGCGGCGGACGGCCCGTGTTCCGTTGCGGACGGTGGCGCAAAGCGATTAAGCGATTTTGTTGTGGACCCCGATTCTTCCCTTCGTCGGCTCTCTCTTCCCGGCTTTCCACTTCTCCCGCGCCGCCTTTCGCCTCTCCCGCCTGTCGCTTCGGCTGCGCTACACGATAAACGCGCCCCTCAACGGAAATCTGCCTTCATCCCCACCACCTCCGCGCGAACCCCTACCTTCACGAATTGCCATGATGTTAGACCGGCAAAAATCAGGATTGTATCAACTTTGTCGTTCCGCAACTTGCCAACCTTCTCGTTGCTGAATAGAATTTAACCAACGCAACGAAGATTGCGACAAGTAACGATGATTATCAGGTGTTCTGACGTTGCAAAGTATCTTTTATCGATATAACTTTGAATTGCGAGCGGTACATTGTAACGTGTATGCAGCACAGCACGATACATTTGTATCTGATTTGCGAATGCGATCCGAATACAAATTGTCATTGTACGGATTGATAATGCAGTGAACGAGATCGAATATTACTTTGTACTTTCATTTATATGTCCGGTGTTGTGCCGCGTAAAAATAGTCACTAGGTTCTAAAATTCTTTCGACGGCCCTGCTTTAGACGGCCGTTCTCTTTGCCCCACTATTCGTATCTTGATGCGCAGAACGTTGGTTTTACTTTACTGCGCCGCGTCTCCGTGCAAGGGGCACACTGTTTCTGTGCATCCCGGTTATCCCCTTGCAGAGCGGGTCGATCGTTAACGCGTAGCACCACGGCCATTGTGTAAAAAGAACCCACGACGCTCGGTTAGTGCACGCTGAGGACGGGACGTGTAGTTTTCCAAGTTTTCCTCCTGTGATATTTAGACTGTGCCAATATAGGTGAGTAACGCCCGTATAAGTACATTGGCTTGCGTTTTAGTCGTTAGCTTTTATTTCGAATAGTGTCTATGGAAAAGTCTATGGAAAATCAGGTCGCCATGCTATGCCAACAAAGAAGCGGTTTTGTCGTTGAAGCGTGTTCTCGTGTAAAGAACGTAATCGAAAGTGTACAAAATCTCGCGGAACAAGCATCTGTTGCGAAATTCAGACGAATAGAACTATTTTTCGAATAAAGTAATTTGCATTTTCCGAGCTCGTTTTCGGGAGTTTTCGCCATTTTGCCTTAGCCAAGTCTACAGAGTCGGCCATTACGTACGCGTGCCAGGTTGCGGTCCAGGGCCGGTTAATGACGTTGAGGACACTTTGTACTTTTTTTTTACTGTGATTAAATTCATTTTAATTGCTTATTCATACGCACATGTGTATACATACGCGCGCGCACACACATGCATTCTTACAACGTTCATTTATTTTCGAGATAGTTGACTTGTAATGCTATGTAATTATGGGTGACAATAAGATCGATGCCGCGTATTTAGTTTCATAAATCTGCTAGTTTCTTAGATACAATCGATTGCTTGCTTGCCCTGTTATCCAAATACATCGTACGATATCAATACGTTGATTATATTTCGTAAAATATAATCACTACGTGGGTCACCTACTTGTGTTTTGTTTGCAATTATTTTTCTTCGTTATGATTGGTTAGCATGTTCGTTAATTACTGTTCATTAGAAGATACAGCATTTTTGTCAGTAAGAAAATGAGAGAGGCGTGTACTTGATTTCATGTATCGTTGGATTTTTTTACTAAAAATCTGATGCTGACGTATACTATTGAATCAAAATAGAAAAGTGTTTTATCTGTAGCGTCCTCTAGTTGCAATTTCCAATCACGGCGAGACCATCATAGCTTTCGGGAGTAGAGCGCATGCTCGATAGTTTACTTCGTTTTTTTCTTCTCTCGTGCCCTCTTCCGGGGAAGCCTGCGCTCTCTGACGGTCGATGTACAGGCAAGCAAGCAGGCGTTGTGCTACGCCATTGTTGAAAAGGGCAGCGCTCGAGGCGCACGCCGAGCTTGGACGCTTACGCAGTTTTTCACTTTTCATCGATCCCGTTGCTGTGATATTAGATTGTTTTATACCCCTTATTAGGTGAGTGATACAACACGTAGATAGTTATTCATAAAATTCGCTATTTCGTCAGAGCTCGCAAGAAAATTCCGGAAAATTTTAAGGTGGGGTGACATGGCGCGGGCGGATCCTCTATATACTTTTGAGAAAACACCAGCTCGGTTTTGTTTTCACTCGATCGAAATTCCCTGATGAAGTAAGCGTTTGCGATTTTCCTGTGTTTGTCCAGACGGTACTTTTAACGGGAAATTTCAGAATTGGTGTCAAGTTTTAGGTTGTATATTTTTCCTTGCGAGCTTTTCTTCTATCGCCATTTTGTCCGGGCGCGACCTCGCGGACGGCCATATTGCGATCCACGTCTCCTCTCCTCTCGTGGTTTCCGGGGGCGGTGTAAGGAAAGTGCATCGTTCTTTTTCGCCGGTCGGTAGATGCGATTGAAAAAATTATCTGTCGCTAACTTGTTTTGCTTCACACACGTTGCTCGGCGCCATCTGACGTAACATTCGATACAAGATAACAATATAAATAGATTACGCAATCGCGCGTAAGCAGTGAATGCTCTTCGCTTTATTTCGTATTAATCTTTTCACGCGTACATTCGCATTATTGTCCCTCCCCCCCCTCCCCACCCGTGGTTAAAACTTACGCGTTGCGCATGTGAACCGAGTAATCGATTTTCCGTTTTATTGCGCGTCAATGATGTAAACCGCGGTGACGTAAACTGTTACATTTCGCCCCGGTCCACCAAATTTTTGCAGTTTTCTAATGGCCGCGACAAATTTCGTTTATGGTTTCAAATATTATATTTACATTCCGTAACGTAATCAAGTACAATTATTGTCGAGACATCGATGTTCAAAAATTTGTTATCGCGTATAGATCGAAGAATATTTGGAAATCCAGTGGTCTGGGTATTTAGAATTGGAATAATAGGAGATTGTCATGCTTGTATTCGCAGAATTTATTATAGTAATATTTCTGAAATATTTGATTTGTCGTCATTGTCAAACGAATTGAAAGGGGGTTCCATCGTGTAGTTCGTTGCGTATATTCGATTTTTTCCGGATTTCGGTATTATCGTTAGGGTACCGGTGAATCCAGCAGACGCCCCTGAATTCCAGGGGCCTCGAGCCAGTGCGCAAGTCAAACGCGCAGCACGGGCGCAGCTGCGCATGCGTGATGCTTGCGCGTCCTCCTGCATCATCCCCACCAAATCGTCCATTACCGTTATGAGGACACGCACAAAGGAAAAGGCCAGAAGACCGATTCGACCGACGCGCTTGCATCGTACGGCCATTTTGGAAGCTTCGGTGCTTCCTTGCGGAGCTTTTTGCCGCGGTTGCATATCGATCGCGAACATAGTTAAAATTTATCATTTCTGCCGTATATTTTCGAATTATCCGGCTCAATGTTCGCGTTAATCGGGCGTAGAAAAGCTAGATAGCATTAGGCACGGTCGATATTGTACATCGGGTCGTTCCGTCTGCTCATCGCCACGGGTCTTCTTCTGCTTGTACAGAAACGAGGGAACTGAATCAGAAACATGGAAGACGACCAGCAGTTCTGTCTTAGGTGGAATAACCACCAAAGCACATTAATTCAGAACTTCGACACGCTTCTCGAAAGCGGGACGCTGGTTGACTGCACCCTGGCGGCGGAGGGGAAATACTTAAAGGCCCATAAGGTAGTTCTTTCCGCGTGCAGTCCCTATTTTGAGGTGAGTTTATTATTCATGTTTCTGTCATAAATATATTCTTCTTTTATCGATTTACTAGCATACGTAATGTTCGTTTAACGAGTACGGTGTAGAGTTCGGTTGAATTAAAAATTGTGGAAACATTAACTTTTATATTGGATGTTACTTTGTGTTTTAAAGTTGAATATATACGTAAAAGTACGACTACGGTTTTGTCATACATTAAAAAGTAAAGGTTTTTCAAAAGGGTAGAAAGTACGAGCAAAATTGGACTTTTTTGTCATTAGTTTGTTTCATTTCCATTGACTAAGCATGGTTGGAATCTGTAGCAAATACGGGAATTCAAATTGTGGGAAAGGGGGAACCTGAAATTGAAACAAGATGGCTGCCCTTGTTGAACGTTGCCTGGGCAGATGCCTGAGAGGCAGGGGGAATGAAAGCCCAAACCCCCTCCTGGTTCCTCGTGATCAATACAGAGAAAGCAAGATGGCTGATTTCCAGGGCACTTGCCCTGGGATTTTACCCTGACATGGGTGGGGGTGTTTGAACATGCAGTGCCTCTGCAATTTGAGCTTGGATCATGAAATTAAATTCCCTTCGCTAATATTATGCCACATTGAAAGCTGAGCTTAGCCTAATGGAAAATTCATCCAATATATACTGATTCTTAACATCCTTTATATATTTATTCGGGAATATTAATTATTTCGTTTACCATCGTGTTTGGATTCAAGTATTTGAATTCACTAATCGTTTCGCGAGGAGATTGTTTTCGCGATTTGCGTTAGTTTTACCTCGAGTTAGTCAACAACGAATGAAACGCTTGAAGGGTATGTTATGTTTTGATTATAGGGCCTCCTCAGCGAGCACTACGACAAACATCCAGTCTTCATATTGAAAGATGTTAAGTTCAAAGAATTGAAAGCGATGATGGACTACATGTACAGGGGGGAAGTAAACATCTCCCAAGACCAATTGGCAGCGCTTCTTAAGGCCGCGGAGTCTCTACAAATAAAGGGTCTCTCAGAAAGTAAAACGGGTGGTAGCAGTAAGACGGACACAAGGCAACAAAAGGTCGTTCCACAAGCAACGGCCCCGTCGTTAGACATTCCACACGCGTCTTCCGGTCTTACAATAGAAAAGAACAAAGTTCCTAGGCAGGTTATGGCACAAGGTTCCGTAGGGGACCTGCCTGAAGAGTCGGGCAGTCCCCAACTACCTAAGGGTCTCTCCTCGAGGTAAGAACATCGAACATACACATTCATTCGTCGAACGAAGCTTTGGAAATATGCATTTAATTGATCGATCATTGTTTCGTTTGCAGAGAGGGCTCACAAAGTCCAACTTCGAGGAAGAGAAAGAGGTTTAGAAGAAGAAGCGTCGGTGAAGATACAATAGAAAACCATGAAGCCTCCAATTCCAGTGACATGCCCCAGCAAATGGGTGTTCCTGCGCTTGGAATTGCACCCGTGGCTGACGAAAAAGTACATGCAGATCCCACAGATTCGCTTGGCAGGTCAGCTTTAATGACGCAGCTGACGAAACCAGCGGACGAAATGCTACAGGTACGTGTTGCGAAATTCAATATCGATATCTCAGCGTGACCACGTTGAGAGTTGTTTACCAACGTATAATGGAGGCAGTCACCGTAGTGCTGTTTCTTTCGCGCGTTGGAAGAATAAACGAACGTCGTGCTTTATCCTTCTATTTGCTCCCGTTTTAATTTGGTCTTATAGAGTGGAAACGGTGCGATACAATATCTCCTTTTATCTTATGTTCGTCCGTCTCTATGTGTCTATGATTATCGTAAGTGAAAAAGGAGAAACTCGTGTATCAAATGGTTTGTTTTTGTACAGCTACCACTCGAAAAGCCAGAGCCAAATGATAGTCTGATCGAGCCAAAATCTGAGTATCTTGAAGACCCGGAGGAGAGCGTCGAAGATCTGACGCTAGATGACGATATGAATGACCTAAACGAAATGGAGCAAGATAATAACAGAGCCGGACCGTCCCACGACCCCTCCCAACATCCTGGTAAGTTTGCACATACGTACGCTTTCATTTAAACGATGGTTTCGTTTGGCTAGTAACGTAGCGGAATACAGGGTATACTCGCGAATGGCGAGCTGATTTCAAATTTCGCACACACGTTCGATCTCTAGTCGTTCAGATTTCTCCAGATTTAGCTTTCATATGTACCGTGAGCTCTCTTGTGCGTATCTAAACAATATCGTATGACGGATACGAGTGACAGTAGCAAACCTTCCATCCAGAAGAAACTTTGGATCGAAGCTGAGCTTTCTACCCCTGGCATCTTACCGAAAACGAGGAGATCGCCCTTTTGTACGTTCGAATTTCTTTAAGCAATTATTGGCAATACGATTAAAAGGGGCCGATTTGATTGATGAAACTTACTGAGTCCTCGCGAACGTTTCGTTTAATTGTATAAGTATAAATCGGGCCGTGCAATGATTGGCCGAAACTAGCTTGGGTTTCCTCGTTGCAGGTGGGGGGGCGGGAGCGCGGTCTCGGTCGAGAGGGAATTTGGGTGGTGGTGGTGGCGGCGGTGCCGTCTGGGCGTCCCATTTCCTCGAATGTAAAAAAGGGCCGAACACGAGGCGGCCACGCCCAGACGTTGACGTAGGCGCGTTGCTTAAATCGCTGGCGAACAAACAGGGCAGAAAGTATAGTTTAGACTCCGTTAAAATGTCCCTGGAGGCAATATTGCAGCAGGGGGTTAGCACCACTCAGGCATCAGAGATGTATGGCATTAATCGCTCGACTCTGCAGTTCTATTTGAAAAAATTGAACGTCGTCAGAAGGAGATGGAGGCAACAACCTAGTAACCTGGTCCAGCCTAGGCAGTCTTAGTCTGTATGCCTTGCAGAGATGTAGTTTGCGTAACAATGTTCAGTGTTGAGATTTGGCAGCGAGAAATGCCACCAAACGGTTGAAACGGCTTGTTCTCACCCGTTAACGATATCTTCCGTTCCGTTTATAATTCCACGCGGCGTTGTACTTACTTTGTTCGTTTCGAGGAATATGTTACTTTTTATATACATAGCGATCGAAGATAATCGACTCGATTTTTCTTTTTTTTTTTATTGGCGTTTCTCATTCGACGAGAACTTCGTATGCGTGTATTGTGCCAAACTTTGGGAATTATCAAGCATCGCCCGATACCGGAAGTACGTTGCGGGAAAGTATCGATGCTTTTTATTCCCCTGAGATGAGAAAGACGCGCGAACAAATTGCTCAGATTTGTTTTTCCTGGTAATTTGTTGTACCGTGTGCTCCGAAAAAATACAGGGTTTAGAGTTCAGTTTTTAAATTAGCTCAGCGAATCGATGTATCGATCGATCGCGATCCGACGAGGAATTTTTATCGCTCTACGAAATATATATTTGAGGTTAGTTCTTGTTATACGTACATACGAGTCTATATATACATGCAGTCACTGTACGACCCCCCAGTAATCAATTTTATAGTTGTACGATCTGTGTTCCGAATTAGCCGTTTGCGTTTGCATTTAACCCTTTCACAGAAACTTATTTAGCCCAAGAGACTCTCGGGTAAGACGATACCTCAGTTTAGTTTATTATAGACACGAAACGAGTTATTATTTTATGCACAGTTTCCTTCTTCCTTGACCCTTTTGTTCTGTTACATTTTGTTTAACTTTTAAAACAGAAGAATGATTTTCTTTTGAAAGTAATAGTGGTCGCACTTGATCAATTCATATTATTGATTTCAAACACGGTTATAATTTTGTTGAACTTCAAGGCACTGTAAGTTAATTTTGTGAATTTTAGCCACTATGATGTTCATTTTGTGTTTTTACACACGCCGCAAAGTACTTATTAACGCGAATAATGAAGAAGGTGCGTGTAAAACGTGTTAATTTTTTAAAGGAACATTTCTTATTTTGAAATGAAGCAATTTTACGCAGTTTTACTGTGAAAGGGTTTAATGCAAGCGCGAGTCAGCATACGATCAAGTGACGTACAAAGTATCGGACTGTGAAATAGCTTGAAAACTATCAGTATTATCTCTTTGTTCTAAGTGTTGCGGTAGGATCAATTAGGCAGAAGTATTCGAGACATGTAAAGTGTTCGACGTATGTTTGTATGCGTGTATACGTATGTACGACAGCAACGGAGAATCGCGTGTTTAATAGGAGTATAAGATTTCGTGTTGCATCGCCAAATATTACTCCCCGCGATTAAAAGGCGGAGAACTGGGGATGAACGACGGAATGCACCTTTATGATAATATCGTCTATAATAATACTATCAGATTTCATCTTTTCTGTAAGAGAAATGTGTACGATTTTTGATCGCGATTACCCTGTATTTCACTACTGCGGATCGTCCAAGGATCCCGCGGAATGGTATTTTTGTTCTCGTTTAAATGAGGATGAAATTTTGTGAATAAAGTAATCCCTCATTCCAAACGCTTAACCGACTTTTAATTTTCTTATTTCTCATTCAAGTTTCCGACATCGTCGCGTTTCGTTTGACAATGTTTGTTACGAGCATGGTTTTCTTTTTTGTTTCGTTAGCAGGTATAGGTGCGTGGCACGTTACCGGAGATCGGAGTAACGCGGGAGGTGTTGTGGGCTCGGTGGCAGGAGCTCCAGGAACGACAGACGAAGTTTTTCTTGCAGCCCAGGAGGCCGCCCAGGCCCACCGCGACTCTCAAGGTAGGCTCACCCACACCATTTTTCATCAGCTCCTGCCCGCCGTAACAATAGGCACTTGACATTGGCACCGACCATACTTGGTATTCGATGCGTATTCGATTGATTTACGGTTGTGCAAAAAATGAACGGATTCATGGAACGCCGTAAGTCGAAGGAAAAAAAAACAAAAAAGCCACCGCTCTTCGAATGTGTAAATTTTTTAAGGAAGATTTCCAACAGAGAATTTTCTCTAACGATATCGACGAAGGCTTTGAAAAGGCTTAGAATTTAAAAAAAAAAAAAAGAAAAAAGAAACGATATGCCTTAGCGAGAAGTGCCCGTTGCGCAGGCGCGACAGGGCTCATTTTTTTCTTTCACTGTCGAATAACGTGGTTCAACCTAGATTGCCGGTACATTCAAGAGTAGCACGGTCTCTGAAAGAGCTTTTCACTTTTCTAAACAGGGCATGTAGCTTTTCCGTTAATTTCTAAGTTCCTTATTATCTTTGTCTTCCACTTTATTTTTTATCGCGATACCATGCTGCGAGGTCGACGAGATCCGACAACGCCACAATTTTTTCTATGTACAGATACGTGTACAGATCCACGTATACGCGTTTTATTTTGTATTGTTCGTCGTCCTTCGGTATCTTCTTATCGCTTGGTGTAGTATTCCAAGATATTGGCGACCGCGTACACACGGAACGTTTTCCCTCCTTTTGCTTTGTGGCTCGTCTTTATCGTTGGCCTCGCGACGCGATATTGCGACCTCTCTCTCCTCTGCAAGGAAAAAGTCGACCGTGCGGACCGAGCAGCTTCGCCGCGACCACCGACCAAAGGAAATACGAGACACGTTCTCGCATCTTTTGCATTTATCGTGTATACGAACGTGGCGAGGAAAGCGTTAAAACCCGGGTAGCAAATCCTCCTCGATACATATCGTGATCCTTTTACGGCGATCAGTCACACGTGGGAACAATTTTCACACGACAGATGGGGGGAGAGAGAGAGAGAGAGAGAGAGAGAGAGAGAGAGAGAGAGAGAGAGAGAGAGAGAGAGAGAGAGAGAGAGAGAGAGAGAGAGAGAGAGAGAGAGAGAGAGAGAGAGAGAGAGAGAGAGAGAGAGAGAGAGAGAGAGAGAGAGAGAGAGAGAGTGAGTGAGCGAGTGAGAAAGAGAAAAAGAAAAAGGGAGAGCGAAAGCTGCCGGAATATATTCGCTGTTAGAAGTCCACGTCTCTCGACCAAACAAATTTTTAAGCAAGCTTTGCAAGGATCATTGCTATCGTACAGTTGGCGATTAATTACCCGCCAACGATCATTAAACGGTGACGTCCAAGGATCGATCGAGAACGATAAACAGACTATTCTCACGGTTTTCTATATCGATAACTTTCGGTTGTTGGTAGGCAGGTCTCTCAAGGGTATCCTCTCCCTTCGGTATTTTTAATTTTTTCAAGGGCGTTGTACAGTAATTATATATAACCCTTTGCACAATAATTTTGCTTCCGGGTAGACGCGTTAATTAATTCCGTATAATGGTATGTAGCAGACGAAAACCAACCTTCAATATTAGGTACTAGGAGACGGTATTCTGGTTCGGATCCACCACAAAGGCTTTCAATGAACTTGAGGCAGCATCGTCTTCAAAAAATTCACAGTTCGGGGGCCAAAAGATTCCCTCAGAGACCGTGCAGAGTCTGTAGAGTACATGGGAGACGTAAGGATACGTGTTACATGTGCGAGTACTGCGAGGTACCCCTTTGCAGAGCCAGATGTTTCGAACGTTATCACACCGAGGTGCAGTACTGAGCTTCTTTAACCGCGTTTTCATTCAGACGTGGCGCGAAATACATTCCTCCGTGCAAAAATTACCGTGGATAAAGCTTTATCGGATGATGATACATTGTACGACGTGTAGTTGATGTAATCTTATTCTCAAATAAAAATTTCTTCCATTCGGACGAAATACACAAAACGAGTATCGAGTGCAAAGGGTTAATAAATTTAAGAACGAGGCTAGACAAATCCGACCGACGAAGCGATACACGGGTTCCGCGTCGAACGGAAATTCGCGAAACGGATCGTTATTCGCGCGCATATCGTGCAACAGCCGGCGTTGTTGCTATGAGAAACACAAGTCGAAGTAACGCGAGAGCTTGAGAAGGATATAACGGCGCGTATCGCGGGAGCCAGCTGTCCTAGTTTTTCCTTCCTCTTCGGAAGCCGTTCTTTCTAGAAATTGGATCGTAACGGAATACAGCCGCGACCATATCACGTACCGGTATTAATCGATTTAACGCAAAGTCCTCGGAGAGGCTCTACGAAATTAATTCGAGCGTGTACCACGGGAAGTCGAAATTTTTATTTTAATCCTCTCGAAGCGTATTGCGCAAGATTCGTTGCGTTGCAGGGACGGTTCACGATTCGGTCGCGACAACGGTTCCCACGGAAACCCGTCGGCCTTGAGCTCGATAGAACCCCGACAGAAGTATAATTGCGACGATAGAAATGCTCGCGAGTCCGTGGCTGAACGACGCACGCCGGGTATGATGACCGCGATCGTCGCGGAGAAAATACTCGAGGCGATTTATCAGCGTTCGGTCGAAGCTGTAAAACTCGCGACGATGAATCGCGTCCCGAAGCGAAAGGTCGGTGAAATTACGCGATGAATGGAAATTATCTCGTCCCCGGGAGCGTTGTTTTAGGCGCGACGATTTCGAAGTCGACCTAGTTTCGCGATTACCCGCGTCTCCGGGGGCCGTTGAACCCCGTCGATCGATCAACAGACTCGGGGATTACGCAATGATAAATCGCGAGACGATTCCGACGCGAAAACAAGGGAACTCGGTACCGTACGGTCGAGAAGAGTCGGAACGAAACCGCGTGCCTCGAACAGTTCGAGTTGAAGAATTAATGGTTTGGCAGCGAAGCTAGCTCGGTGATACAGAAACGCGTACACACGCGGGGAGAGGAATAAGGAGTAAAAGAACGCGCAGCTGTCGCTTCCTCGGATCGGTGCATCTGCTAACAACTGCGCAGCTGGCGTTGGCAGATGCGACGCCGGGCTGGTTCGCACGGACGCCTTGGCGTCTCCGAAACTTGGGTAGAAAAAAAGAGTTAATTTTCATTGGCCAAGACCCGTGGCTGAGAAACGAACGGGGAAAGAGGGAAAGAGGCGCCCGAGGAGACCTACGAGAACTTATTTTGACCGGTCGCGATTTTTAGGGGCTCTCTTTAACGCGCGTATTTTTAAAAAAACACACGTTTAGGGTAAACGGTCGCCCGAAAAAGAAAAGGCGATCCAACGCGGGATACAAGGTAATATCGGAGAGAGAGGAGCGACCTCTCCGTCAATGCCAGTCCTTTGCTACGTCTACGTTTCGCAACCGATCCTCGTTTCTAAGAGTTTCTCGAACGAAAGTCCGTCGTTTACGCGCGGGAGAAACCGTCCGGCACGATAAACAGAATAATTTGGAAACGCTCGCATTGATGGGGACGGTCGTTGTTTTCACCGTCAGAGACTTGTTACCTTGAATCGATTGTTCGAGCGGTATTTATTGAAATAACAAAAAGGTGCTACATTATCGCTGTCTTTCAACACGTTCCGTGCCGCGTGGGTTAATCGATCACCCACGATGGACGATCTTTCTTTCGATTTACGGTTCTGGATCACCGGCGACCCGCTCGGTGTAGAGATCGACGATCCCATCCAAAGACACGGCGACGATCATGAGACTAGCAATTTATCTCTCGCAGATACGAAGGGCGGATTCTTGCGCCACGAAATGAAAAAGAAAGAGGGGAAAGTGTCTAAAGTAAGGCGTCGTTGCGAGAGATGTTACTACAAGAATGTAAACAAGTTCGGTACCCAGTTCGCGAGAAATAGCACCGTGAAAGTAGCAACGTTTTGCGAGAATTGTTACGGGAAACCTCACCTATGCGCGACGTGCTTCTTTATGGAACATCAGTACGCGGGATAATTGTTTTTTTTTTTGAATAAAAGCATATTCAGTTTCAAATGTAGCATTCCGTGTACTTTATCATCCTTGCGTCTCGGTATAGCGCGATCAATTTACGTAATCCACGGACACGCGTAACGGAACCGATCGGAGCGTGGCGTTTGATCCACCGGATCTCTCACCGGTGAGAGTCAAACTTTGCAAAAGCGCGAGTATTGCCTGCGCGGTATGGAACGTGTTCACGAATCGACTTGGCGTCCAATTAAAAAAAAGAAAGAGATAGTACACGCAGCCTTGATCAATTTGATTCGATTAAAAAAAAGCTTTAGTCGAACGCTCTCTCGTAACGCACTTTTGTGTCCGCTTTGTCCCGTTTTCTTGGCGAAGCACATCGAGTCGCACCATGGTCTCGTTCGCGAGTTTTCCACTTTGCTATATTGTTTTCGTCGGCCACTTGGTTGTGGCGGTTAATGCGCGGTATAACAAAAAGTAAAAAAAAAAGCAGCCGAAAACTAGAGCCGGCGTTGCGCCACGTTATTTGCAGTGCGTAGAGGATTCCTATAAACGTAGTTGTTAGAAACAAAGAGGATACGAGATCCAGCGAAACACGGGCAAAGGTGGCCGCGTCGTTCGCGTCGATCGCTTACGAAGATAGATCCAAAAAAACGCGTACGAAGCTAGTCTCTTCGAGCAGACGCCGACCCACCGTGTTCACCTTTGCCCCCAAACCAGTCGGTGGGCAATCCTCGTATCCTAAGGGAAAAGAAACAGAGAAAGGAAACACCCATTGTAGTCGTTTACGTGTTTTTTTTGTTGGTAGAAACGTGACGAAAGTAGAACGCGTAACAGATCGTAACCCGTAAAAGCCAAAGCGGGTAATCGCGCGGGCGTAAAAGGGGATAAATTATTCGGCGCGATCCCGATCGTGTGGCGAGGAAAGACGACGCCGGGCGAAGTCGGGAATCGACGATCTCGTTTTTTTTAAAGCGACGCAAAGCCAACCGTGCGTCGCGTTACACTCTTGAAACTTGTATCCGCCAATTCTCATCATTTTGTCGCGAGCC